TTTTTTATTTATGAAGTCATATTATATATAATGTCCGGAAATCGATGAAAACATTTTTGGAGCGATTTTGGTCTGGATCCCCAATTCTGGCTAATTAACCCTTTCAATTTAAATTAAGAGGTATCATTTTGACTTTTAATAGTTTATTACATTTCATACTCTTTATTTTCCTTAATGACCAAATATTTAATTTAAATATAACACAATTTTCCCAAGTAAAGCTAACACAGTTTTTGTCCGCATTTTTAACTATCTATAAAAACCATTCTCTATCGTCTATCAAAAGGCCTATCAAGAATCCTAATGTACAGTACACAACATAAAAATTCCCAGATTAGACAAATTCCAAAACAAAGTGAAAAATATTAATTTACATTAACAGTGCCAGGAAATCATAATTATTTTCTTAGACTGCTTATTTACCAATTAAATTTGAATAGATTATTTTATTAAAATCGAGAAATTTAGTTGCTTACAAATTTTGACTTACACTGTAACATTTTTTCTTTATCTAGACTACAGCGCCCTCATTTGATTTCGGGCCAAAGTACCATGATAACTTGAATTTCAAATAAATAATTTTAAATACTTCGCATAGGCAACCCACTATACAGCAAAGTATTCTCAACCTCAAAGCAGTAGTAGCAGTTTTAATTCTTTTATTAATATTTCTATTTTCAAAAAAAGGTTTAAAATATTCACCAATAATTTTAAGCCGCATAAATGTAGTTTGTATTACACAGTTTATTACATTTTTCTGTTTTCAGAAGAAGAAAAATTAATTAATAAAGAAATAAAAGCGACTTTTTTAAATTAGAGATTGAAAGTGCACCCCCGTAATTTCTAACTATAAAAATGTTTTCAGGGATGTCTCATAACAACTTTATTACATTTTGTTAGCTTGAGGTCGTTTAATAAGGGGGAGATTAATTCACCAAGAAATAAAACCGATTTTAAATTGATGATGGTAATAAATATAAGTAAGTTCCAAATATAATTTTTTTTCAACGATGCTCCACAACAGGTTTAATATATTGTCGTACTTTCAACTAGATTAATAACGTAGAAATTAATTTTAAATTTAGAAAAAAAGGGTAAAAAGATGAATCCTACCTTTCCCATGAAGGGACGATGGTTTGGAAAGAACAGTTCCGAATGAACAACATTGTAGTTTCACTGCCATAATCAACAGCCCAAAAAACTAGGTAAATTGTTCGGAATGCTGAAATAAAAAGAATATTGTTTAAATAGTAGAAAGAAGCATACATACCATTCAAACTTATAATACCAAAATTATCTTAACAATCCACACCATATAAAAACGCACGTAAATCTTCGCCCTACTAAACAACTATTTTAAACATCAAATAGGTGAATTATATGTAAAAATGTACGAAGAATACAGTGGTTATCACATTTTTTGAATACAAATTGATTATCACTCTCACCTGAAGAAGTTGAAATAGTGTAGCACATGGGAAACCACTTTTACTCTGCTTTTACTAGATAGAATTTAATGTGGCTTTGTGGAATAAAGCAAAACACGCAAATAAATAGCACAATTTCAAATTGCCCCTATTCTGTAATACACATACAAGATCCATACAAACTTATTAGAATTTAACTTTTTCAAAATTTAAATCGTAATACTTTAAATTTTCACCGTGAGGGTCTCTAGTCTCGGTAAAACTCATAGATATGGTTAGGCCCATAGAACTTATACTCATATAACTAAAGTATGGTTATAATCGTTATAACCTTCAATTCAAATTTATTTAGAACAACATTTAGTAAGGTATTATAATGAAAATGGAAACAGAAAAGTATTTTCAAATTGTCGAAATCATTCGAAATTATAAAGGACTTTCTAAAGACTGTTTGGTGGAACTCAAACACAGATTTCAGGAGTACGTCCTTTGGTTTATGAGTTTGGTGTTTATTGTTTCTATATTTGTTTTCAGTGTACCCAGTAATACTTTATACAGTATACTATCAACTGAATATCAAAAATTTATGAAACAACATTACTGCAAAAGTTCTAAAAGAATTGAGAAATATTATAGTGAATACTGTAAAGCTATTCATAAAAGAGAAGAACCTGGAATCATACTACGAATGTCCAAGGAGAATAATTTAGCTCCTTGTTTAATAGGTAAATTAATATTACAAAAATATTTTGAAAAGAAAAATGGTGATGCAGATAGTAACTCTGACAAATCTCAACAAAACATTAACTTGTATATGAGGAATACTTGTTTAATACCTGACACTGACTTATCTTATGAAATTTATCTGGTATGCTTGTTTTGTTTCACTTTTTCAATATTAGTACAAAATAGATCTTTTAGTGTACAATGTATGATGATCAATATAGTCCTTTAGTGGAAGTTATAAAAATGTAAGCAACTTCAATAACTAATATGTACATGTTAACTTATGATCAATACTTTATTAAGGTCTGTGGGCCAAGAATATGAATTACTTTTGGAAAGAACACTAAAGGAATTGGGTCTGGCTTTCCGTAATGAGGAATATTTAAGAAGATATGGTTATGACAAAACACCTGACATTAAAATGGAAATACCTATAATGATAGATGGTGTTATAATAAACTGGATAGAAAGTAAAGCACTTTTTGGCTCAGAGGAACTTCATAGAGAGTATTTTAAGAATCAGTATTTCAGTTATTGGAATAGGTAAAATTAAAGCTAATTGTTAAGAGTACCAATTAATTAAGTCTGCTTATCTACTTTAGATTTGGGCCTGGACTAGTGATTTATTGGTTCGGTTTTGTAGAAACATTAATTCAAACAGATGATAAAAGGTTTATAATTAGAGATAATTTTCCAAAAGACATTGCTGATATTACGTCACTCATTTAAAATTGCTTTTACTTATTTTTTCTTTATGAAAATAAGAATGTCAAGTTAGTTAAATTAAATTAAATAATTAATCCTATGAAAGTATTTTAAATTTTCTCCCAACAGCTGTGTGATGCTTAAAAATATAAAACTAACAAAATTGTATTTTGAAAACAGAACATTCTTCCAAAATTCTTCTTTCAATCTGAAGATAAACCCGATTCTTTTAATCCCATTTTTAACATTATTGATTGAATAAATTACAAAATTGTATGTTAATTTTACATTACAACCGATAATATTGATTGAATCGAAAAATCCGTTAAACGTTGATGTTCAGAAAAGTCAGTGTAATTTTTACGAGTCTCCAACGGAGGTGAAGAATCAAATTATAAAACATTTATNACATGATAAATTTATACGCGAAAAATTTCAATTATATACAGCGCAGTCAAATTTTCAACAATAATATAATCTTACTCACTTTCATCGCTGGAAATTACAATTATCCTTCGTTTTTTCATATTTCGGAAATGTTCTTCTTTCGACTTTTTTCGTTTTCTATTTTTCCGTTCTTCCTCTAATTGCATTTCAGCTAATTCTAAAAGTGACATTTCTTCTTTCTGAGTCGAATATTGAATATTATCGTCACAAAATGAATCCTGAAATGAATTTTGATTAACATTGCATTTTCCTAGAATGTTTTCTATAATGTTTACGTTTAAATAACTGTTGTCTTCGGTATTCGGCATTTGAGAAAATATATCCGGGTGCAGGGGTGGATTTTTTGGAATTTTAAACTGGCCACTATTCAGAGTCGGACTCCTTAAAAAACAAAATATCTTATTAAAAGCAAATTATCAAAATTTTAATACATTAAAACGATGTTCCATTTCTTCTTGAACTTATTAAATAGATTTTATTTTACAATTATTGATTTAAATAAACTTATTTATGAAAAAAGATTATATAACAAATGAAAAATACTAAACAATTTTCAACTAAATGGTAATAATTACTTAATAATTGTTAACGTTATTCTCATATTAATTATTAATTAAAAGTTACTTACCTAACTGACTTCAAATATTCAGCGTGCATCATAGTGTTGTTGCCTAGATCTTGAGTTTCATCATTTACAAAACTCATTTCAAAAACATCGTCATCACTTCCTTCCGTCGTATCTGATGAAGCTTCTTCTTCCGAATTTAATCGCGCCTCTTTCTCAATAAATGATGAATTGTATGACTTCTTCTAAACCAGAAAAATAAAGCAAAATCGTTAATGATAACTACTGCCATTGTCCAGCCAATGATATTTTAATATCTTAAGTTTTGTGTTATTAATAATAGGAATGAAAATAATATACAAACAATTGTGATTATGCGTCTAAGAAAAATTCACTATTTCTTAAATTCGTCAACAAAATACATAACTTGTTCTTTAAACTGTTGCTGTCATACATAAAATACCTTGAAGGATAAGTAATTTTTCATTATTATTAATATAATTAGCCATTTCTATTTACCTTTTCTCTTTTTCCTCTTTTCGTATTATTTTTATTATTACTCTTAGTTGCATTTTGCTTTGGGAGAACAGGCTCAATAAATTTGAATTTGTTCTGTTCTGAATTCGTACTTTTCGCCTTATTCTTCTCTCCTGAGCTTATCAGGTTTGGTTTTTGTACATTTTTCTTTGATAACCACCTTGTATTTGATTTTACTCGATGTTGCTCGAAATCGTCATCGGAATCGGAGTCAATTTTACAAATTCCCTTCATAAAATTTATTTTAGGCGACTTAACTTGGTCTTTCTTCGAATTGGTGAGCGAGACATTTGGAGTTCTGTTAACATTGTTAGCATTTGAAAGCCTCCCACAATTTTCTTTTTTGGGAGTAACTGACACCTGCTTACTTCTCATTTTCGTAAAACAAAAATCATCGGAAAAATCATCAGACTTTAATTTCTTTAATAGCGAAGTTACAGTTTTGGACTTGCTTTTATTCATGTACTCCAGTCCTTGTGTTATGGATAATTGACTGGGTAACGTTTGGGTACACGTTTTCTCAAATTGGCTTATAATTGGACTCGTTTTATTCATATCAATATTTTCTTTTTGAGAATTGTTTGATGAATTCATAACGACGTAATCTCTTTGTAGATTTTTGTTATAAGGGATGTATGAATCTTCATGGCCTTCTCTAAAAACATTACTTTCTCCTCTTTGTAATTGGGAATTTAACTTGTTTTTATCTGGCGTAATTTCGTTGTTTTTATTAACACTACTCAGCCCAAAGACTGATATATCACAAAAATTGTCGAGATGTAAAATATTTATATTTTGTGGTTCTTTTTCAGCAATCCTTTTACTATCAGTGTTTTTATTTTGATGTTCGGTTTCCATTAAATTCGCACCAATTTGAATATTTTTTCTATCAGTTTCAAATTCTGACGAACTGCCACTATTATTTAAAGCTGGGGTCTTATTACTTTTTTGATTTGTTGGAGTATTGCAAATCTTAAAATTATTTTCAAGTTCAGAAGAAGTACTGCTATAAAAATCTTTTTTGAAATTTTCAGTTTTATTTTGTGTAAAACTAAGTAAATCCATGGAATCAAAATCAGTTTCGCATAGTTTAGCACTGCGTGATTTCTCTTGAGTGCGTAATTTAAAAGAATGTACTCTCCCAGTTAAAACAGGAGACGTTTCTCGACTATGAATAATGTCATTCAAATCATAAATAACAGTTTCTTCACTAGAATTGGGGGAATTTTGAAATATCTGTAAGCTCCCTTTTGCCAGTGAATTGTTTAAAGGTTTCAATATATCCTCTATTTTTTCTAAAAGAAAAAACTCTAAGGCGTCTTCGCAGCACGATGAAGAATCTTTTTTTTGGCCGTTATTGTTTCCAGAACTAGTAACTTTTCTATTTGTAGTAATTAAGTTGCCTTCGCCATTAGCACTAATGTCTTGCAACAAACATGTCGTCGAATTGGTGGTCAAATTTATTAAATTTTCCTTAAATGTGCTATCTAAGAAACCATCCAAATTTATACAAACTCTGTCGTTTTGATTATTTTGTTTCTGTGAGCTATTCTCTAACTGGGTTATTTTAAAGTTCTCGAACAGAGACTTGTTAGTGCTTAATATTCTCTTATCACTTGCTATAATTTCCTGCTTTCTTTTTGGAGTAGTAAAGATATTATTACCACAATGTTTTAAACGAATGCCAGTGGGTGTTTCCGTAATTTTTGCTGCACATTCCTCAAATTTAATGCTTCTCTTACTACTATTATCATAAACAGAATTGTTTGCAAATGAAATGTTGTTCCAAGATTGATCAGGTGCAAAATTAATGCAGTCTGGCATATCAAAATCATTGTAAACATGATAGTCTTTCAAATCTAACGAATTTGCAAATGTATTTAACGCATCAGAATCAATACTTTTCATTACATTTGCGTCCATATCAGTCCAGTTTTCTAAATCAAAATCAGAATCAAACTGTACAATTGATTTTTCCAGTTTTGAACATTTAAAAAGGTTATTACAAATTTTACATGAATGATGCGTATCATTTATAGATACAAATGCTGATATTTCATTGAATAGTTCTTCTACTAATACACTGTTTATAGTAGGAGGTGAAGGAACAGATGAAACATCAATTTTATTATCACTGCTCCCTAAATTAAGACAATAATTAGCTTTTCCAACAAGACAAACTGCATACTCTTTCATTTACCTTTTGATATCACAGATTTAGAGTTTCTTTTTAATCCTTTGCAGAGCATACTTTTTAAATCACACTGCTTAAAATTGTCTGCTGAATTATTTTTAATCAATTTACATTTTTTAGAAGCCTTCTCGTTCTTTGTATCACCAGAACTGTTTTGTGATAGATCTTAAATTAAGAACGTCAATAAAAAACAGATCTAATTATAAGATAGCTTACTTTTATCTTCTTTACTGGCCCGTTTTCGTGATGTCTTTGGTTTATCCCTAGCTGAATCCAAAGACTTTTTCTTTGTAGAAGATTTCGAATTATTATTAACTCTTTCCTGCAAAAAAAAGAGCATGTTTGATTAGGTAAAATAAAATGGAATAAGGTAAGGTACCTCTTTACTATCAGTTTTTATTTTATTAACTGAAGATGAACATTTCGTGACAGTCATATGTAACTTTTCACAAACAGGATTAATACCATCGGGTACCATTCTTGAATTATACTTAAAAAGACCATTGTGTAATTCCTTTGAAGTAATAATACGGGACGACAAATTTTGTTTTTCTGCTAGACATTCTTTTAGCATCTACAAAAATAACATTATACCTACTATTTCTAAAACTACGACAGTATTATACCTGTTGTTCTTTTCCTTCTGTAACCAAGATAATTACTTTGCCCTGTCTTTTTCTTCCTGTACGCCCCATTCTTTGTACTAATCTAATAGGAGACTTGTTGTTGATGTCAAAACACACAATTAAATCAACTTCACCCACATCCAATCCTTCTTCTCCAATACACGTTGAAATAAGTGTATTACATTCCCCCTCTCTGAACGCATTAATTACCTACATTTTAAAGAAGCCTCTGTTAGCGCTACTTTTAATTGATACAGTTAATAGATATGTTAAGTATCTTACACTCATCTGTATCCGTTGAGGCATAGCACCTTGTCCCATGAAATATTTCGGTTTGATAATGGGACGATTTTTCAATAGCAATGTGTAGGCTTCCATTACACTTTCTTTATATTCGCAGAAGATTATAACACGACTGTTCGTATTTTCGGGAAGAGAAAAATGATTCATTAAAATTTTACCCAACTCATAATACTTCGGGTGTCCGAAGGTTATTGTTTCTGGGATCTAAAAGCCTTTGTTTAAAATAGTGACTGAATAAGAAGAAAAAACATTAATAACGTACGTCAGGGATGGAACCATCAGGTAAAGGATCGACGTTGGGTACCGGCCCCAAATATTCCCGAATATCTTGCAAAATATCGTGAATTTCTTGAATTCCCCTGAGGAGTGGTTTATTAATATGATCTTCAATCGAAAACGTTTTTAAAAACTTGGAATCACAATTACACTAATGATTATAAAAATTGTTACCTTCATAAAATGATAGAAAACCTCGGAGTCCATGGCGAATCAAAAGTTCGTAAGCGTGGTACAAAGTAATACAAATATTTAAATTTCGCATTATTTCATAAAACATTTCTCCCCTAAAATAAAGATATAAAAATAAGACTTCACAATTATTTAACATTTTGACGAGTTTTTATTATGACATAGACACCATTAACAAAAACATGTAAATTGTATAGTATTAATTAAATCAGTATTGCAATTTTCAATTTTTACTACTTTAATTCATTTGCAGGTTTTTATTTTAAATGTGTGTCCTACAATTTCATTTTATAATTAAATGCTAAACAATCGTTATTAAACAATATGATATATATATATTACAACTTACCTGCTTGTTTTATTTTGCTCCTGGAAATTTTTCATTGTCATAAATATTTTTCCTCTGGTCAGTTGGTTACAATTACCGTTGATAATTTTATGCTTAACTAATACCCTTGTATAATGGTCTAAAACCTTTACAAAAAAGTTTATTTAGAAAATAAATAAATCTAAAGTAGTACCTTTAAATATGCATGTTTTATATCTTCTAATTTTCCGCCCAGAGGAACAACCACTGTTTGCAATGACCTGTGAAATACATAAGGTACCACATCAAGACTTTCTTCAGTTCGTACTTCTAAATGGGCAATTAATAAATTATTTATTACCTACAATGGGATTACACTTAAATATTTAATCAGATAAAACCATATACACATTAAGTTACCTCATACACATCCTTTATAGTACTTCCTGGTGTAGCACTTAATGCTAATACTCGAAAATACTTATTCCTTGGATAAAGTTTTCTAATAACTTCACAGTAGGCGTGATTTCCTTTTGCTCTATGTGCTTCATCAAACACAAGGCATTTTATCTTGCCACTCAAGTTTTCAATGATTTCCAAATCATTTTGTAAAATTTGTGGTGTAATAAAAAATACTCTCTTTTCATCCCATAATATTTTTCTATCTTCTTTTACTTTTGAACCTTAGATAAAAATAGTTATTTTAAATTGTTACTGTTTTAAATAATCTACCTGTTATTTCTACTGTCACATCTTTTGGAATTGCCATAATATTGTAGCAAGCTTCCACTTGCTGTTTTACTAAAGGTCTTGTTGGAGCCATAAAGATTACTTTGCCACTGGGATACCATCGATAATAATTGTACATTACAACTGCAGCAATGAACGTTTTTCCAAGTCCAGTTGGAAGACTGACCTAAGAAAATTAATTAATTATTGTCAAATCTGTTGATGTTAAATAAACAACGACAATTTAAAATACCTATTTTAATTTTACATACCAGTGTATTTTTGTATAGGGATTGCTGGACAATATTGTATTGATAATCTCGAAGAGGATAGTTTGTAGGATAATGCCATGATTGTCCTGCTTCAATATCAAAACCTTTTGTGCCTTCTTCTTTGCTTAATACTGCTAACCTGAGATTTTAATATTCTAACCACCAAATTATAAATTTGAATTATCTACTTACACATCAACATTGCTCTTATCGTCCTCAATTTCGCCACTCATTTTATAAGGCTTGGATGTTTTGTCAAAAAAATAATACAAATAACCATTTCGAAATGCTGTAAATTGTACTTATTTCACAGTACTTTTAAACAGAATTTTTAAAAATTTGAAAATGACACAAAGCATATAAAATAATTAACACATTCTTTGAACTAACACAAGCTTAATAACAATTATCTTTATAACAACAAATTGTTATAATATTCCTTGAAACTCAAACATCCTAAAATTAACCTCTTTAACTTCAACATCTAACCATAGATAATATTACAGATTCACTGTACAGATTACACCAATCTCAGCGTCATAGATACTTTTCATGTGCTGTTTGTGACTACTGTAGCGTCAAAGTAACAACAAAAAATATTGAACTACTGTTATAAAACTCTCTTTTTTGCATTCCAATTCTGACTAAAAAACTTATTTAGAAATCCTTTATTTCTAATTACATTTTAAAAATCTATTTTTATCACACTTAATTTGATAAATAAAACCCAAAATAACATTAAAACTTATCATTATATTCATTGCAGTTTTATGTAAAGTATAATGGTCATGTATATCTCGTTTTATTAGTGTTGAATAGTCTTAATTTTAAACATTGCAAATATAATGATTGTAATTTTGCAAATAATTGCTATTATGATGCGACTATCTTAAATAAAAAATAGAATATAACACCAATTATTTATAATTTCTTTTTCATATTATATATACTTTAAAAAATTGAAAATATAGGAACTTGCGCAATTTTGAAAATCGTGAATTGCAAAACAAAATAATTAATTAAAAACTTTAATTGTAAAGATTTTTTGTTTTTCTTTTTATAAATAAAATATTCACAACCAATGCTTATTCAAGTATATAGAATGTTGAAATATATGTAACATATAAAAAAATACGTACTAGGAAATTTGTCATTTTTTACCCCATAATTACGCTAATACTTAAATTGATTTTAAATTGCTTGCAAAATCAACGCACACCCATTTGTATTAACAAACAAAAAAACAAAGACTGGAAGGAAGATTGAGACAATTCAGTCAGTTCGTAACTAATTTCGAATAAAAAACAATCATTAGATTCCTAAATTTCTTTTAATAGAATTTCTTGTAATGACTGTCTTTGTTGTCCCTATAAAAAAAAATTAATAAAAACGCAATCAATATTTGGGTGGCAATAAATATCAAACAAATATTCAATATCTGAACAAAGTTGTCTTATAAAAACTTACCTGTATATTGAATAGCCTAAATATATCGCCAATTGAATAACGGCAATAATAAGTAATGTTGTAACAGATACGCAACTCGGACACGTTCCTCCAGGCCTCTGAGCTGCAAATTGTGCAACGTTTTGTTTAACGTGATTCAAACCGTCGCGCATTTCAGCAACTAGGGATTGCATATCGTAACCCATTGGCTGAATTTGAGCTGTAGGCTGTTTCGATTGATTTATTATTATTTTGTCTGCCTGAGATGATACTGTGGCTATTAATTGCCTGTGGAGAAACATAAAAATCATTAAAGAATTAGTCATTATGGACAGAAGACAACTTCGTTACACTTACATCATAATCAACACTCAATACATTAACACACTCGATAGTGTGAACATCGNAATAAAGCGATAAGGAAATAATAAAAAACACTTGTGTGGGTTTCACTGAATTTAATGAAAAATCTCTAACATATTATTCAACCAAACGATTATTTTCAAAGAGTATTTCTTGTAACTACGTTTAGAAAATGACCCTTAGGTGGAAAAATATATTAGAGATTTCTCATTGCATTCAGTAAAACCCACACAAGTGTTTTATTGTTCCTTTATCATTTTATTCTTAAAAATAACATTCGTTAACGTGGGTAAATCGATATATGTTGTTTTTTTTGTTCACACTATCGAATGTAGTGTAATTCAATGGTTTATAACAGTCTTTCAGCACTCTTTCTAATGTCTTTTCTTACTTGACGTCTTTGATTAAATTTGCCAGTTGATTCTGATTGTTAAACAATGTAGTGACCTCGTCTCTTCGTATTGTATCAATATAACCAGTTGGTATAGCTTGTGATGGTTGACCGCCTGCTTGTTGGGCTTGACCGCCAACTGCAGCAGCTTGTTGTTGCATGGAGATAAGACTGAGGGTTCGTTCTTGTCTACCGACCATTTCATCGAGTTTGCGATTCAATTCTCGAAGTACATCATAAATCTGCGACTGTCCCTGGAAAATTTGTCGTAGTTCTCGCTGACTATCTGATTCAAACCAATCTTCCAATTCTTCTGGTTGCTTTCCCTGATGCTGTTAAAAACATTTTTTTTTTAATTATGCAATTACATTTTACTGAGCAATTCTTACTTCTGGGTGTTCTTTACGATAATCCTGTTTCTGTTGCTCTAATTTGTTTTGATATTCCTGATACTCCTGAGCTAATCTTTGTTGTTCTTCACTAGCCGCTAAAAGGTATATTCATAGGTAGATAAAAATGCCATAAATGCGTATATTAAATACTCACATTGTACAGGTGCTTGATCAACGGGCCAAAGACTGTTAGTAAGGAAGTGTAAGACATCATGATCATCTGCAAGTCCACCAGTAGCCGCTGATATGCCGAAGTAACCATTCTTTGGAAGTACAATATTGTCAGAGGATAGTTTGTAGGATAATGCCATGATTGTCCTGCTTCAATATCAAAACCTTTTGTGCCTTCTTCTTTGCTTAATACTGCTAACCTGAGATTTTAATATTCTAACCACCAAATTATAAATTTGAATTATCTACTTACACATCANAAAGACTGTTAGTTAGGAAGTGTAAGACATCATGATCATCTGCAAGTCCACCAGTAGCCGCTGATATGCCGAAGTAACCATTCTTTGGAAGTACAATATTGTCAACACGAAGACACATTTCATAATCTTGATCATTGCTAGTCATGCCATTATGGAATAATAACGTTAATGTATTTTGATAATACTCGATACGAGCTCTAGTAGGAAAAGGCTTATTTCTGAAATCCCTCAAACATCCAGCTGCTGATTGTGTTAGTCCATCACTGTAAATAGCATCTGTTAAGTGTTTAAAGTTATTTTTAATGGCACTTTTTACTTTTGATGGTCAAATTGTTTAGTTCCATCATTAACCATGGCATAAATGTAAGGATTATTATGTTTATTATCATTATCAAATGAGTCAAAGAAAATGCCCAGACCGACCCATTTGTCTGAGGAGCCAAACACATCACCCTCATAGGACCCTTTGTTTTGCGTATACCAAAATGCCTAAAAAAAGAAGATAACATCTAACCTTTAACTACTGTTTATTTTCTTACTAATCCATCTGCTCCTATTCTTCCTCTACCAGTAATTCTGAAAACCATATCTACTTCCCACCAGTCGAAGTTAGTAGGACTTTTTGTCCAAATAGCACCTTTCTGACTTCTTAAAGAAGGTGCTATTCTCACATTTTCTGCACTAGCAATGGCATCTAAAATAACGAAAATTAAAGTGATATTTTTAAAATCACATGTGTTGTACAATTTACAATAAAAAGCTCATATAAACAGTACATATGGATTACTGAAATGTTCCAAGTTTAATGCATGAAAAACTTTAAAGCTGAAAAACAAGGTAGTATACGTTTATCAGAACGTTAGGAATTAAATTAAAAACAGAAATTAACAGTAAAAAAGGTTTTTACAAACAACTTGTTTAATATTTTTTTTTTTAATTCAACAGCTGTTTATTGTGGTTATGAACTACAAAGCATCTCAAAACTATTTACTTTTATAACAAACAGAATATAATTTCTTCCTTTTGTCTCAAAGGGAACCTATTCAACAAAAATGATAAAAGTATGTTGTTGCTTAAATTTTAATCGCTTACGTGTACCAAACACGTTGCTATTACTTACTACCGCCGTATTCCCAAAACGGAACACTGCCGTCTTTTTGAGCCAAGTACGGGGGTTTAAATGAATATTTGTATTCAAATTTTCTATGCACAAGGGCTCCATAAATATTATTTACAACACTATTTAATACATAAACTAACACATAAAATAACACATAACTTCTAGTCCCCATGGTATAAGACGACAGCCACGACAGCAGTCACAAGTTCAATTGAAGAATTGAACTACTCAAAAATGACATGAACTAACTATGACCTCCCATAACCTCACTGTCACGATAATACAGTGCTATGGTATGAGTATCTATGATCAGTGGCCTGGCATCAATGAATTCTATACTAAACCTACGAATAGTATAGAATTCATTGCCTGGCAATGAATCTTCATTACCTTGCTAACGGCAGTTAGCTAGTCTAGGCGGCAGAGACTAACGGGCAATAGAATAGTATTATCAATTGTGGAAGTTACACATACTAATAATTAATATAATAAGCACTGTAGTACATTGATTACAAACAGTACAAACATTAGCTTTTTCAGGTGAAGATTATAAATGTAAATATCTTCACCTGAAGATACTAATTTGTTATCAATATACTTTTTGTTATTTATCAGATAAGATTATTCACTTACACTCATCTTGACGAAAATAGGATCAATGCCCCACAAAGTTTACTTTATGTTGCACAAAACTCCTTTTAATTCTTCTTTAACAAATTAATTTTAATATTAAAATAAATAAATAATAAATACTCAAAAATGATAAGGATTTTCTGGTTTGCTAAATTTGTAGAAAAAAATACCACATTTTTGTAGTTAGCAANTTCTTAAATTCAACAGTCTGTGGAGAAGGTAATTAAATTTGTAGAAAAAAATACCACATTTCTGTAGTTAGCAAACAATCATTTTACTTGGAACTGATAAAATTATAGTTGAAAACATGGATGATTAAAAAAATTAAATTACATTAAATATTTTTTTGAATGTGAAAATTGACCAAAGGCAGTATCAAGTAACTAACTTCCGTGTAGAACATGTAAAATATATAGCAATAAGAAAACAAAAAGATGTTTTAACACTGGAGATTGTTTAGATTTTAGTAGCGCATTTAATTAACAATATAATACGCAACATTTTCAAATACAATTTTAACGATAATCAGTTTTACCAACGCCACGTTTGCCAGAGAACAGATGTTTCGGCATTTTTGTTCCAATGAATCGATCTGCTTCGCCTTTTAATCCCTTCTTTTTAACTTTCTTTGCTATTGCCTTGTGAGCAATTTTCGATAGTTTCTTTTTCATCTGTAACACAAAATGCATTAAAAATAGCGGTATTTAAATTTCCACACTATACAAATGTGTAGAATTTATTTAATATAATAGGTACACCGCAGATAAAATATAAATAAGAGAAGCAACTCTCAATTCCACACCATCTTTACATAACAATGTGTAATGATATGTTGTCTAATAACATTCAACGTATTTCCAAGATTGGACTCGAAATACTGAACAATAAGAGGCATACAAAACATTTACCCAAACAAACAGTAGAACATGTTTCAAACTTACAATAACATCCTTAACGCCCTGTTCATTTCGAGGGGTAACTCTAGATGAACTCCTAGGACGGGACTGGCTGCTGTCCACACGCATACGCTTTGCAGGTGGCCCCAAAGAACGACTTCTCCCTTTTGTTTTAGTGAAGTGAGCATTTTCTGTACCACTCATATCTACACCCAACCCTTCCATGTCTTTTCGTAGTTTAGAAACTGAACGGTCCCTTACCTTTAAAAGAAACATAAACATAATTAATTAGTTGTAAAGTTTTAAATAACGTAAAATTAAATTAAGGATTTCCCAAAAGTTCTTTACCCTCGCTGTTGTTGTTCGAGGCATAACCGGTTTTTTGCATTGTTTGTTTACTCTTGCTTCATCTTTCATTATGGCTTTTTTGTGGCGAATTTGCAATGCAAGCTGTTTAATTTCTCGTAAAGTATCATCCAATTCGATCTTTGGAACCGCGTACATCCCAGTATCTTCGCGAATTTCTTCCTCTTTTTCAAGTTGTCCCAACTTCTACAAAAAATTATTATCTTCAATATTACAAGTCCTTCCCCCTATCAATCACCATTGCTTCGACTGGTCGAAATTCACTTTTGTGAACAATTTGTTCTTTCTTTGTGTTAAAAATTGTTTGAAAAATTAAATTTAAAGGAATTGTTTGTAAATAGGTATGCAACACATCGTACATTTCAGAATAAGAAATTGCTGATACCAACTACGTAATACTACTCTGCCCTGTGCTGACAACACTCATAATCTCTTTTATATATAATACTTCCAGGTGGAAGTCAATATTAAAAGGATTACCAATTTTGTTACTAAAATAAACATATTTATAAGTACTAACTTCAAAAATATCAGGATCAATATAGTCAGCAATATTGTGACCTTCCCAGAATTCAGGAATTATATCATATCTTTCTTCTTCTGGAATATCAACATAGTGTTTTTTCAAGTCAAGATAATAATCATCTCCAAGTTCAACTTCGATATCACGTTCAAGTTTTCTTTTTGGTTTATCACCTTTCAACTGTTTCTTCAACAGAACATTCTCTGGAATAACAGGTGGTCTTGGTTTATCATCTCGTGGTTTTGGAATTGCAACATGTAATCTATTAAGCACATTATCTACCTAAAAGTCATAAAAGTTAGCTTCATTAACTATGACTACGTATACCGGCCAAAAAATCACTGACAAGATATCTATGTAATCTGTTGCAATTTTTCAATTACCTTTTTAGTTCTCATTTTTTGGTCAACTCTGAAACTCAGAAGTTTTTCACAAGCTTCAATTTTTACTTCCATCACTCCCTGTTCAGTAACAGTGGACATTTCCAAAAGGGGTATTTCAGGATTTTCTTCAATTTCTTTTAGTAATGCTCTTCGCTGTGGAGCTAAGTCATCTAATTTAACAATGTCAATCTTATTTGCAACTACTACAAGAGGTTTGTTGGCAAACAAAGGTTTAATTGATTCAAATAATTTAACCTAAAACAAATACTTAACAAACATGAATATTTTAAAGTTTGAATAACACTACCTGATCATCTAGCATGTATCCACATTGTTCAGATATATCAAAGAAATATAAGACGCATGCTCTAAGATGAGCAAGTGCAGTAACTGCTTGCATTTCAATAACATTACGTTCTTCCAGAGGATGGTCAAGTATTCCTGGAGTATCAATAACTTGCCATCTCAGATATTTATAATCTGTATGACCAACATACAGTGATTTAGTTGTAAAGGCATATGGTTGGACCTCTACATCTGCTCTTGTAATTTTATTTATAAATGAAGATTTACCAACATTTGGAAAACCTTAAAAAAAAAGGGATACAATCTTTTGAAAATAAAATTTCTAACAGTATAACCTACCACAAATAATTATTGTACGAGTGTATGGATCAATTGATGGCAAGCGAGCCAAATGTTGTCTTACTTGTTCTAAATAAGTTAAATTAGATGCCTGTCTTTTCATGATAGTAGCCATACGACCTAAAGCAGCTCTTTTAAGTTGCTTGCATCTGTAGAGAGAATCTCCAAATTTCAAAAGTCTCACATAATCCTTTGCAACACTTAAATGGAGATAAGAATAAACACTCTATTACAAAAAGAAGATACAAAACTTACTTATCTATCAAATGTCTAGCTGTATTGAGCTGACCTAAAGCAAGCTTGTAATGATCTTTGTCATAAAGCACATTCATCAAATCTGCATAAAAAGGGTGAATATCATCTAATTTAGGAAATTCTGTTAATATTTGAGTAAGCCTATCATGAAAACTTTGTTGGGAATACTTCACTTTCCGCATATAAAATGTTCGAATTCTTGTTATTTTATAGTGTTTGTGAACAACTGTTGGTGTTTTTCTTTGAGTCTTCGACAAGATGATATCTATAAAATCCTACAAAAGCAAATAATAAGTAGGGCATATTGAGTGTTTTATTAGAAACAAAACCTACCTTCGAAGTTGGCACAACGGCAATTTTCTTAAAATTGTATGAAGACATGTTGCTTTTTTAAATAATTCAGATAAATAAATTAAGTTCAACGTTTTCTAAGAAGCTGTTTTATCCAAAATTAACCAAATCACTTAACCTTGCTAACCATGCTTTCTTATTAGTTGGAAAATTGTTAGGTTACGTACAGTGATTACCACAGGTCAATAAATTATCTATGGTCAATCTACTGAGAGAAAATGACTATCATAATACTGTTGTCTTTTCTAAAATCTAAATTGATTGTTGTACCAAGATGGTACCATGACTGTCTTGATTATTAATCAAAGACAGTAGCTGTGTAATATTGTTCCTAAAATATTATTATTTGATAAAGGATACCATTATAAAAGTTACTTATAAAGGACAGATTTTAATTCAGCTACAAAATCCAAGTTGAATTTTAGGATATAAAAAAAAGTTAAAAACACAATTGATAAAGTATTTCACAACTATTATTAATTAGAAACATTTGATGTAGAATGTGTTGAAACTCCATTAGTAGTTACAGCTGGTCTAGAGGAAGTCCTCCCCTGTAGGTGTTTCATTTTAAGACGATCAAGTTCATTCACTCTTGATCGAGCATGTTCAAGCCTATGCCAAGCCATCTGAAGCACTTTTTGTGAAGCATATCCAGAGCCTTCATGTGGTTGTCCTGTAGACACTTGAGTTAAGTAATTAATCTGGTCTGTCAGTTTTGATTCAACTGCACCCAATGTTTTTAAAAAGGTTTGAGTGTGATTCTCAGCTTGTTTTAAACTGGACTTTTCTTTCCCTAGTTCTACAAATGCTTGTCCTGCACTATGTAGGCAAGTAATAACGTCCTTCTCAATAGAATCTAACACTTGTATTCTCTCCATCGGTGCAGTCATTGTTACACTAGAAAAGGTACTCCTTTTATTTTTTCTTAAAGATTGTCTAGTAATTTCTTAAACGATAATAAAAAGGTTCTACGAATTCCCTACCACACACAGCAAAAAAAAATTAAACCACATACGTAAATGAACGCCAAGTTTTGAATTTGCTTACAATATAAGGTTATGTTTTGATTAATCTATAGTTTTGATGTTGATGCAATAATAGGTTAAATTTATCAAAATCCATAGATAATAAATCAAACAATAAGTATTATTCTGAATTATCATCAGGAAACGAACTGAAACAGTTTGTTTGTCTGTACCCCATAATAATACGCACAACTTTACAATTTTGTTCATTTTTTTTTTAAACTAACTCATACATACAGTGATAAGTATCAATTATTGATCAAAAAATTTTTTTATTGCTGCTTTTTTATTTAAAGCAATAAAAGTTAAAAAGTAAATTAAACAAAAAATATTTATTCAACAATTAATCTTGTACTTTTTTTAACAAGAAACGTAACAGATTTTTTCTAAATAACAAACTATCCTTATGACATTCTGGTCTACTGCATATTTACAAAATATCCAACTTAGGAATCTGTAGACTGTTTTCGTTTATAAATTGAAATGCTCTTAAAATCTATAGGAAAATAAATAATATCAACATAATGCAATTCACTACAACGAATTAAATACCGCATGTGGCAGAATCATCCCCACTGCCCACCACAAACCCTTTCTGTATTTAAGATCAATTAGTGCCTAGAAATAGAACTTTTAACAACTACAATCATTATTTTTAAAAAGCGCCGTATTTACAAATTCATCTTTATCTCTTAGTTTCTCTCGTAGTAAAATAAACCTAAAATATTTGTATCACATGCTAATATTGACGCATTAGCTACATTATGTAAAAATAAAGCAAGCTTCTCATATTAAATTCTATTAATTAATTGCCTCGTCAGTCGAATTTTGCACCACAAATGAAAATCAGCGTTGAATTAAACACCTTTTTTTTATGAAAATTAAACGCAAATATTTTTATTTTTCAAAATATTAAATTTATTTCAAAATGTGATGAAAATCGACCGATATCGTCATTATAATTATTTACTATATATTATTTAAACATAAAAATTTTACAAAATGTATAGTTTTCTATGCGTTTAGATTAATAGTCAGTCTTATAAAATTTGAAATATAGGACCTAAACTAAAAACTAGCTATCTGTGTTTGTATTTGAAACTTGATAATGGTTCAGCTTTTTTGGGTCATTGATGAACACTTTTTTTGCTAAAGCCTGCAAAAAAAATTATGTACGATGTTATCACTTACACTGTTGGTATAAATTATTTATATACTTTCTCTGTACTAATCAAAAAAGTCGTAATATACGTAAGCGCATTACTTTTGCGGTATTTCGCAAGTATTAAATTTCACGAAAATTGAATATTAAATAACTAAATAATTATTGTTAAACGAGAACACAGTTAAAATAGTTTATGTGAACATTAAAATTTTGATGAATACATTTAAAAATATGCTTCAAATGCAAAAGAGGGTCAACTATATTTGTTACGCACTCATATATATGGTGCGGAACATTTTACATGTTTTTTCCAATTTTTTTTTGATATGATGAAGAAACTTTTTGAAATCAATTCATTTTTAATGCAGAGAATGCTCGGATTACTTAAGAAGTTCAACTGTTAATTGTTTAGTATTTAATTGGCAATCTATTAAAAAGTTACCTTTAGGCTTTCTAAACACTGGTCCCCATCGGTTGTATTAATTTCCGTGAGTAAACTGTTCGCCCTTTCCAATTCAGCATAAAGTCCGAAGGGTATTTTTGCAAGACATTCTAACTTCATGATGTGCATTTTTGATCTAAGATGTTTTGCTAAATGACCATGTATGCGAAACGCAATACTACAGTCGGAACATTTAAATGGTCTAGGTTCAGACGACGATAAAGTGGGAGATGAAGACAACTGGAAAAAATAAAATCAATCTATTTCATTAACTAAAAGACGAGGTAATCACAAATGATCAAAACACTAAAAATTTAAGCAGACATGTAAATTTAAGAAATCGTGTGGTGCGTACGTGAAAGTGTAGTGTTACAATTTTCGAAAATGTAAAACAATTTTTAATTAAATTACCTACGTGAAACGTTTTAAAAACAAAATATCCCATTTAAGACAGCAAACAAAACCAATACGAAAAATTTAGTGGCTTAATAAGTGAAGCGAAATAAAATGAAACAATTTTTTATCAAAAATCGCCTAATAAAGCAATATGAGTATTAAACGAATTAAATACTACAACAGAATATAGAATTGCAAAAGTTATTAAAAAGACTAGTCTACAGTAAAGATAAATAACTACAGCAGCGATACTACAACAAGTTGTTAAGTTAGTTACATACAAAATGCACGACACAGTATTTATTATTACCACACCTGGATCATGCTGTAGTTTTTCTGGAATAAAGCAAATACCATTAGGCACTCCCACCAAATAAACATATGTAGGTATAGAAATATATTTTTGAAGGAATATAAACATCGATATACATGTGTATAATGTGTTTTTAATGAATTGTAATTTTTTACGTTCTGTAGCACAATGTAAAATAAAGAAGTGATGCTGCATACCTTATTATGATGACTAGCACTTCTTTCATGTTTTTGTAAATGTCCTTTGGTCCTAAAACTAACTGAACAGGAATCACAACGAAATGGCCTCTCTAAGTAATGAATATTCATGTGCAACCTATTAAAAAGAAGAAAACGTTGTAGAAAATTCAAATATTTAACACTGTGGAAAGAAACAAATTGTATGCGATTAGAAAATTATTCATAAGAACGTAGAGTAACATCATCCAGATTGTTATTTAAATTTTATGCCACTAGAATACACACCTGAGTTGTGAGGGTTTGTTAAAATTCTTAAGACAAATTGAACAACTTTTGTTCTCTTCAGACTTTGCGATGAGTTCATTGACGTCTTTATTTGAAGAACTGAAATTCTTTATTTCGTTTATCTGAAATTCGCTCTTCGTGGCCAATTTCAAAAAGGCTGACGCTACATTTTTTGCAATCGTGTTCTTTTCCAACTTGACTTGCTTCGTAGCCACATCGGCCAGAGTTTGCATGGCACTGTTGTCATAGTCTACCGAATTAAAGCTTTCAGAAGACTCTGTCGAATAATGCATTACCGTTGGGTAACTTTCCGGCACCTTCGTTGAAAATCTTGACGAAGATTCAGTGTCGCTTCCTCTTTCGCTGTTAAACTGTTCCGTTGAAGATTCCTTAGGACTTGTCTTAAATGAAAGTTTACATTTATCGGCAACAGAAGGACTAGGAAGATTTTGACTTTTCGAAAGATTTATAACTTGCGGCGAATACGACGCTACTGATGTCCTTTGGTCAATGGTGCCATTCTCGCAATGTGAAAGCGGTGGATTTTTAAGATTCTTCTCTGAATTACAAGAAAGATCCATTACATCCGAATCGCTTCTTTGTAATTTTGGCTTAAACTCCGGTTCGAAGACACTAATTTTTCGTTTTCTGAAATCGCCTTCGTTTGGTTGCATGTTATCAGACACTTTAATAAGTGGTATGACCGATTCTATCACTTGTTTTGATGTAAACGAACTTTCTGAGGGAGTTTTCGCATCTTCTAAATATTTAGGATCGTAGCTTATTGTTATGGCAACTTTCTTAAATTCAACAGTCTGTGGAGAAGGTAATTCTCGCACTTTGTTTAATTCGGGACCTAAATTTCTTGAAATTACACTAAAATTATGAGGTTGTTTCTCCGAGGCAGATTTTTCAATAATTTTATTTGATTTCGTCGGTGATTCCCCGGGGGTAACAGACAAGTAAGGATAGGTAAGCGGTCTTTGGGTATTGGTTTTCCCTAAAAACTGTGTTAAGTTTTCTACTTCTTTGGAACTTTCTTGTACAGTTGTAACCGGAATTGTTGCATTAACTCTTAACGTACTGAAGGTAGTGATTGTCTGATGATCAAGAATTTTATTTTTTGCGTAATTTGTATTGTTCACGTGCGTTACTTGCTCCGTATTCATAAAACTTGTACTTCGATCTAAGCCTAGCGCAGGTACCGTCGTTTCTCCCATTTTCGTTAAACCCTGAGAGAAATTTTCCATTGAAGAGCCAGAAGGTAAACTTTGTGGATTTTGTGATAATGAGAGAAGGCCGTATGCCGCTTCGTGTTCTTGTTGACGCGTTGATTCATCTGAAACAAATTAAATTCTATAAGTAAACACTTTTCAACTAATTAAATAACAATTAAATATACAAAGAAATTCGATATACTGCAACTCACCACTACTGTCCATGCCACTGTCATCAGTATCGGTCTCTGAACTTTGAGTACCACTTTGATGGGCTGAGCCTGAAGAACTACTACTTGCTGCATAATTTTTGGTGTGTGATTTACTCTTCATATGCTTCGTAAGATTACCCTTTGTCTTGAAACTGTAGAACTTGAATATTTTAATATTTTGTGTGGAGAAAAAAATCATGATTCATGTTTTTGTAAGAAAAAGGTTGCGAATTATAAAGTCACAGTCAAAAGTTGTAAAAGTTTTATAAAAGAATGTATTTAATTCTAAATTGTGTAATAAGTAGTTTATAAAAGGAAACAACTGGACAAACTTTATCAATGGTGAATCCTGATCAACGTGCTGGAAGTGAAGGAAAAGGAATTTATCTCAGGAGTAATGGGAGGGTACTGGAAAGCAATTGAACAATAAAAATATTCCATAAGAATAAGAAAACGCACAATTTTAGAAGAAATATTTAACAGCGTAATTACAGTATCCAAAATAGACCAGACCAGACCAGACAAAATATTAATGGTTCAGCGAACTTTAAAAAAAAATGAGAATTTAGGAAGTGTTCTCGTGTTTATAAAAATATGCATTTACTAAAAAAATGTTTTAAAATAATCAAAAAAGTATCCGATTTTTTGTGTTTTGGTAAAACAAATAAGAAATAGCCGATTAAATCTTGTAAATAGAAACAATAGTTAGATAGATGTGCTACCATTAAGTCAATAAAAATTTATTTGTTTATTTCTATAGCTTACCTAAAGTTACAATGACTGCAAGTGAATGGTCTATCATTAGTATGGGTTCGTATATGCTTTTTTAACATTGAAGGTTTTTTACATCGTATTCCACATTGATCACAAATGTATCGACCTCTACCTATAATAAGTCATGCAAATATTAGACAAATAAATAATTTGTTAAAACAAAAAAAAAAACGTTTTTCTCAAATTTACGTAAAACTTACCACGACCCCTTATGTATGTGTATTCTTCATTTGATTCGTACCCTCCCGTTACAGAAGAATTTGATTTTCCTTGATCATCCACTTCTTTTTTCACAACCCTCTCTGACTAAAAACATCGTCAAATAAACAATATGTATAAATAGTATAAAGAAAATTATACAGCATAGGTCAATATAGCGAAATTGCCCTGTTCTACACATAAAATATAATATAAATAAAATATTTTCAATTTTTATCAGTTTCGTATTACTGAAGACCTTGTTAATTAATTAAAAACATCAATAAAACCCATCAGAGTGGGAAATTAAAAAAAAAAGGAATTGCGTTATATGTTTAATTAAAAAAAAAAAGCGTACTTAAAAATTTTGTAAGTTTGAAAAGTTAAAAACTCTATTAATTAACGAACACATTAAAACAAATTCTATTTACAATGACGTCATACTTGGGTATCACTAATTCGATAATACGATTAATTTAGAATATTACACATATACAAAACAGGATTAAAGTTCACCATTTGTAAAACTCAGAGTACATTACATAAAACGACAAAAACAGTATTTACCTTATAACTGGAATGGACCACCAAATTGGTTGCAGTCTTTCCGGCAGTCGTAAACTTTTGTTGTTTTTGACGAGAATCGTAAGCACTGACGTATAATTCGTCAGTTTTACTTTCCTGCTGTCTCCATTCCGAATACATGCTAAGTTTTTTAAAATGCGGCACATAAAAAGGTTGCGTTTTGTTTAAAGTACAGTAAGTGGGTTTAGTGGAACTCTTCAAGCCCAAATAACTAAAATAATTTCCATTGAGAAAGTGCTGAATATACTTTTTGGCCACCCGTGGGGTTTCCGGGCTTATCAGAATCTGATTAAACATTGTTGGAGTTAATCCATGGTGCTGTTTCATAGTTGAAATGCTTGGTTTTAAGGCCAAAGTATTGGGTCGTGTAAATTTTCGCTGGCTTTCCGAAGAGGAAGGCAGAGCGGTAGAATTAGAAGCCCTTATGACCTCCAATGATTTTGACGGTGGAATCGGAGATCTTCCTTCAGATACCCTGGAAGGAGATTTTTGTTCTGTGGTCATTTTGTTTTCACTGACTTTTATTTCTAGTTTATCCATTTTCGGCGATCTGGCGTATCTATCGTTAGATTCAATTATAGGCCTCTTTTCCATTAAAAGAAAATCCTGACTCTTGACTGGACTGTTCAGGACTACAGGAGATATAGGCGATTTTTCAGATAATAACATTTTATTCGGATTAGAAAGACTAGGTTCTTGTTTAGACTTCGGAGATCGCATGACACTTTTAGGTACTATCCGCGAAGAGGCTTGGCTAATGACACCACCTCTCGAAGGGACCATCGGTTCGCCTGCGAAAGGTCCTGGAATTCCTGGGACATATCTAATAACTTTCCCGTCGACGAATAAGTTGACGGGATTGCACAAATTAGAACCAAGTACTTGTGGCGATAACATTACTTCAGATGGAAGAGGCGACAGGTGTTGGTGCTGTTTTTGTATGAAAGTTCTTTGATCGTTATCTGAACTGTTTTGCCTGATGGCTGAATGAAAAACACGGTCGTTTTCAGCAGGAATATTAGGCTGATCAAAAAAAGTTTGCTGGAGTTTGGTATCCACCGTCGGCGAAGAAGTATTCGGGACAAAAGCTACTCTGTTGGGAATCGGAATGCCAGGAACGGCAAGGTTCGGCTGCTTCAAGTTTGGCGCTAGCATTTTAGCAGCTTTTTGGCTGAAATCCATAATATTTGTATATTTATACGAATGACCGGTAGGTGTGGTGGTTTTAATTTTGAAGTTTGAACTTCCGGTAACGTCAGTTACTGGCGGCCGCGTGGCCGGTTCCCTGTTATTATTATTTATCTTGGACTGGTCATTCGCTGGCAAATCGTGATGTCCTCGTTCGAAATTGAATTTTTTCTTCTCCAAGTTCGATACGTCGATACTTGGAGACAAGGCGGTTGTTTCGTATACCCGAATCACTTCAGGCGAAGACCTGGTTGAATCTTCCTTTCTGTAATTCGGTTTACCCTGTAGAACGGTTCCGCCTGATTGCAAACTTGATTTTACAACCGTATTTTCACGCAGTTTTCCGCCGTAATCTATAAAATTGGTGTTCACGTCGAAACTGTCCGCTTCTTGGTTGTCAATCTTGAAACTCTTCGTTTCGCCCGATTTCTGAGTGATTTTCACCTCACCGCCGAATAATTTAACAGGTGGTTTCTTATCTTTTTCGTGCTGGATGGTCAAAGGCGATAGAGAGTACCGTTGGGTGGTCTTTAACGAACCGTTCGGACTGAGANTGTTAAACGAGAACACAGTTAAAATAGTTTATGTGAACATTAAAATTTTGATGAATACATTTAAAAATATGCTTCAAATGCAAAAGAGGGTCAACTATATTTGTTACGCACTCATATATATGGTGCGGAACATTTTACATGTTTTTTCCAATTTTTTTTTGATATGATGAAGAAACTTTTTGAAATCAATTCATTTTTAATGCAGAGAATGCTCGGATTACTTAAGAAGTTCAACTGTTAATTGTTTAGTATTTAATTGGCAATCTATTAAAAAGTTACCTTTAGGCTTTCTAAACACTGGTCCCCATCGGTTGTATTAATTTCCGTGAGTAAACTGTTCGCCCTTTCCAATTCAGCATAAAGTCCGAAGGGTATTTTTGCAAGACATTCTAACTTCATGATGTGCATTTTTGATCTAAGATGTTTTGCTAAATGACCATGTATGCGAAACGCAATACTACAGTCGGAACATTTAAATGGTCTAGGTTCAGACGACGATAAAGTGGGAGATGAAGACAACTGGAAAAAATAAAATCAATCTATTTCATTAACTAAAAGACGAGGTAATCACAAATGATCAAAACACTAAAAATTTAAGCAGACATGTAAATTTAAGAAATCGTGTGGTGCGTACGTGAAAGTGTAGTGTTACAATTTTCGAAAATGTAAAACAATTTTTAATTAAATTACCTACGTGAAACGTTTTAAAAACAAAATATCCCATTTAAGACAGCAAACAAAACCAATACGAAAAATTTAGTGGCTTAATAAGTGAAGCGAAATAAAATGAAACAATTTTTTATCAAAAATCGCCTAATAAAGCAATATGAGTATTAAACGAATTAAATACTACAACAGAATGTAGAATTGCAAAAGTTATTAAAAAGACTAGTCTACAGTAAAGATAAATAACTACAGCAGCGATACTACAACAAGTTGTTAAGTTAGTTACATACAAAATGCACGACACAGTATTTATTATTACCACACCTGGATCATGCTGTAGTTTTTCTGGAATAAAGCAAATACCATTAGGCACTCCCACCAAATAAACATATGTAGGTATAGAAATATATTTTTGAAGGAATATAAACATCGATATACATGTGTATAATGTGTTTTTAATGAATTGTAATTTTTTACGTTCTGTAGCACAATGTAAAATAAAGAAGTGATGCTGCATACCTTATTATGATGACTAGCACTTCTTTCATGTTTTTGTAAATGTCCTTTGGTCCTAAAACTAACTGAACAGGAATCACAACGAAATGGCCTCTCTAAGTAATGAATATTCATGTGCAACCTATTAAAAAGAAGAAAACGTTGTAGAAAATTCAAATATTTAACACTGTGGAAAGAAACAAATTGTATGCGATTAGAAAATTATTCATAAGAACGTAGAGTAACATCATCCAGATTGTTATTTAAATTTTATGCCACTAGAATACACACCTGAGTTGTGAGGGTTTGTTAAAATTCTTAAGACAAATTGAACAACTTTTGTTCTCTTCAGACTTTGCGATGAGTTCATTGACGTCTTTATTTGAAGAACTGAAATTCTTTATTTCGTTTATCTGAAATTCGCTCTTCGTGGCCAATTTCAAAAAGGCTGACGCTACATTTTTTGCAATCGTGTTCTTTTCCAACTTGACTTGCTTCGTAGCCACATCGGCCAGAGTTTGCATGGCACTGTTGTCATAGTCTACCGAATTAAAGCTTTCAGAAGACTCTGTCGAATAATGCATTACCGTTGGGTAACTTTCCGGCACCTTCGTTGAAAATCTTGACGAAGATTCAGTGTCGCTTCCTCTTTCGCTGTTAAACTGTTCCGTTGAAGATTCCTTAGGACTTGTCTTAAATGAAAGTTTACATTTATCGGCAACAGAAGGACTAGGAAGATTTTGACTTTTCGAAAGATTTATAACTTGCGGCGAATACGACGCTACTGATGTCCTTTGGTCAATGGTGCCATTCTCGCAATGTGAAAGCGGTGGATTTTTAAGATTCTTCTCTGAATTACAAGAAAGATCCATTACATCCGAATCGCTTCTTTGTAATTTTGGCTTAAACTCCGGTTCGAAGACACTAATTTTTCGTTTTCTGAAATCGCCTTCGTTTGGTTGCATGTTATCAGACACTTTAATAAGTGGTATGACCGATTCTATCACTTGTTTTGATGTAAACGAACTTTCTGAGGGAGTTTTCGCATCTTCTAAATATTTAGGATCGTAGCTTATTGTTATGGCAACTTTCTTAAATTCAACAGTCTGTGGAGAAGGTAATTCTCGCACTTTGTTTAATTCGGGACCTAAATTTCTTGAAATTACACTAAAATTATGAGGTTGTTTCTCCGAGGCAGATTTTTCAATAATTTTATTTGATTTCGTCGGTGATTCCCCGGGGGTAACAGACAAGTAAGGATAGGTAAGCGGTCTTTGGGTATTGGTTTTCCCTAAAAACTGTGTTAAGTTTTCTACTTCTTTGGAACTTTCTTGTACAGTTGTAACCGGAATTGTTGCATTAACTCTTAACGTACTGAAGGTAGTGATTGTCTGATGATCAAGAATTTTATTTTTTGCGTAATTTGTATTGTTCACGTGCGTTACTTGCTCCGTATTCATAAAACTTGTACTTCGATCTAAGCCTAGCGCAGGTACCGTCGTTTCTCCCATTTTCGTTAAACCCTGAGAGAAATTTTCCATTGAAGAGCCAGAAGGTAAACTTTGTGGATTTTGTGATAATGAGAGAAGGCCGTATGCCGCTTCGTGTTCTTGTTGACGCGTTGATTCATCTGAAACAAATTAAATTCTATAAGTAAACACTTTTCAACTAATTAAATAACAATTAAATATACAAAGAAATTCGATATACTGCAACTCACCACTACTGTCCATGCCACTGTCATCAGTATCGGTCTCTGAACTTTGAGTACCACTTTGATGGGCTGAGCCTGAAGAACTACTACTTGCTGCATAATTTTTGGTGTGTGATTTACTCTTCATATGCTTCGTAAGATTACCCTTTGTCTTGAAACTGTAGAACTTGAATATTTTAATATTTTGTGTGGAGAAAAAAATCATGATTCATGTTTTTGTAAGAAAAAGGTTGCGAATTATAAAGTCACAGTCAAAAGTTGTAAAAGTTTTATAAAAGAATGTATTTAATTCTAAATTGTGTAATAAGTAGTTTATAAAAGGAAACAACTGGACAAACTTTATCAATGGTGAATCCTGATCAACGTGCTGGAAGTGAAGGAAAAGGAATTTATCTCAGGAGTAATGGGAGGGTACTGGAAAGCAATTGAACAATAAAAATATTCCATAAGAATAAGAAAACGCACAATTTTAGAAGAAATATTTAACAGCGTAATTACAGTATCCAAAATAGACCAGACCAGACCAGACAAAATATTAATGGTTCAGCGAACTTTAAAAAAAAATGAGAATTTAGGAAGTGTTCTCGTGTTTATAAAAATATGCATTTACTAAAAAAATGTTTTAAAATAATCAAAAAAGTATCCGATTTTTTGTGTTTTGGTAAAACAAATAAGAAATAGCCGATTAAATCTTGTAAATAGAAACAATAGTTAGATAGATGTGCTACCATTAAGTCAATAAAAATTTATTTGTTTATTTCTATAGCTTACCTAAAGTTACAATGATAAATAACTACAGCAGCGATACTACAACAAGTTGTTAAGTTAGTTACATACAAAATGCACGACACAGTATTTATTATTACCACACCTGGATCATGCTGTAGTTTTTCTGGAATAAAGCAAATACCATTAGGCACTCCCACCAAATAAACATATGTAGGTATAGAAATATATTTTTGAAGGAATATAAACATCGATATACATGTGTATAATGTGTTTTTAATGAATTGTAATTTTTTACGTTCTGTAGCACAATGTAAAATAAAGAAGTGATGCTGCATACCTTATTATGATGACTAGCACTTCTTTCATGTTTTTGTAAATGTCCTTTGGTCCTAAAACTAACTGAACAGGAATCACAACGAAATGGCCTCTCTAAGTAATGAATATTCATGTGCAACCTATTAAAAAGAAGAAAACGTTGTAGAAAATTCAAATATTTAACACTGTGGAAAGAAACAAATTGTATGCGATTAGAAAATTATTCATAAGAACGTAGAGTAACATCATCCAGATTGTTATTTAAATTTTATGCCACTAGAATACACACCTGAGTTGTGAGGGTTTGTTAAAATTCTTAAGACAAATAGAACAACTTTTGTTCTCTTCAGACTTTGCGATGAGTTCATTGACGTCTTTATTTGAAGAACTGAAATTCTTTATTTCGTTTATCTGAAATTCGCTCTTCGTGGCCAATTTCAAAAAGGCTGACGCTACATTTTTTGCAATCGTGTTCTTTTCCAACTTGACTTGCTTCGTAGCCACATCGGCCAGAGTTTGCATGGCACTGTTGTCATAGTCTACCGAATTAAAGCTTTCAGAAGACTCTGTCGAATAATGCATTACCGTTGGGTAACTTTCCGGCACCTTCGTTGAAAATCTTGACGAAGATTCAGTGTCGCTTCCTCTTTCGCTGTTAAACTGTTCCGTTGAAGATTCCTTAGGACTTGTCTTAAATGAAAGTTTACATTTATCGGCAACAGAAGGACTAGGAAGATTTTGACTTTTCGAAAGATTTATAACTTGCGGCGAATACGACGCTACTGATGTCCTTTGGTCAATGGTGCCATTCTCGCAATGTGAAAGCGGTGGATTTTTAAGATTCTTCTCTGAATTACAAGAAAGATCCATTACATCCGAATCGCTTCTTTGTAATTTTGGCTTAAACTCCGGTTCGAAGACACTAATTTTTCGTTTTCTGAAATCGCCTTCGTTTGGTTGCATGTTATCAGACACTTTAATAAGTGGTATGACCGATTCTATCACTTGTTTTGATGTAAACGAACTTTCTGAGGGAGTTTTCGCATCTTCTAAATATTTAGGATCGTAGCTTATTGTTATGGCAACTTTCTTAAATTCAACAGTCTGTGGAGAAGGTAATTCTCGCACTTTGTTTAATTCGGGACCTAAATTTCTTGAAATTACACTAAAATTATGAGGTTGTTTCTCCGAGGCAGATTTTTCAATAATTTTATTTGATTTCGTCGGTGATTCCCCGGGGGTAACAGACAAGTAAGGATAGGTAAGCGGTCTTTGGGTATTGGTTTTCCCTAAAAACTGTGTTAAGTTTTCTACTTCTTTGGAACTTTCTTGTACAGTTGTAACCGGAATTGTTGCATTAACTCTTAACGTACTGAAGGTAGTGATTGTCTGATGATCAAGAATTTTATTTTTTGCGTAATTTGTATTGTTCACGTGCGTTACTTGCTCCGTATTCATAAAACTTGTACTTCGATCTAAGCCTAGCGCAGGTACCGTCGTTTCTCCCATTTTCGTTAAACCCTGAGAGAAATTTTCCATTGAAGAGCCAGAAGGTAAACTTTGTGGATTTTGTGATAATGAGAGAAGGCCGTATGCCGCTTCGTGTTCTTGTTGACGCGTTGATTCATCTGAAACAAATTAAATTCTATAAGTAAACACTTTTCAACTAATTAAATAACAATTAAATATACAAAGAAATTCGATATACTGCAACTCACCACTACTGTCCATGCCACTGTCATCAGTATCGGTCTCTGAACTTTGAGTACCACTTTGATGGGCTGAGCCTGAAGAACTACTACTTGCTGCATAATTTTTGGTGTGTGATTTACTCTTCATATGCTTCGTAAGATTACCCTTTGTCTTGAAACTGTAGAACTTGAATATTTTAATATTTTGTGTGGAGAAAAAAATCATGATTCATGTTTTTGTAAGAAAAAGGTTGCGAATTATAAAGTCAGTCAAAAGTTGTAAAAGTTTTATAAAAGAATGTATTTAATTCTAAATTGTGTAATAAGTAGTTTATAAAAGGAAACAACTGGACAAACTTTATCAATGGTGAATCCTGATCAACGTGCTGGAAGTGAAGGAAAAGGAATTTATCTCAGGAGTAATGGGAGGGTACTGGAAAGCAATTGAACAATAAAAATATTCCATAAGA